CGTCATTCACTTTCCTCTAAGAAATTCATGCAAGTGGTACCCTAAAGATTGGCAATCCAAAGCTGGTCCCTCCCCCCCCCTTTTTTTTTTCTCAGTCCGATGTTGTCAAACAATAATTTAAAGTATCGACTCGGTGCACTGCTTTTGTCTTTTTTGACGCACGGGGCGACCCTTCAATGTACCGCCCCTTTAGCCACCCTAACTTTGTTGACGGTATGGGGAAACAAATGCACTGTGCGAAATTCTTAGATTCAAAACTTGGAAATCCTTAATACTTTACAACTAATAATTGGGAAAACTTGAATAGTTTACGACTAATAACTGGGAAATATTTTATAGATTACGACAAATAACTGGGCTATCTTTTATAGTTTACAAAAATAACTGGGCAATCTTTTATAGTTTACGACAAATAACTGGGAAATATTTTATGGTAAAACAAATAACTGGGCAATCTTGTATAGTTTACAACAAACAACTGGGCTATCTTTTATAGTTTACAACAAACAACTGGGCTATCTTTTATAGTTTACAAAAAGTAACTGGGAAATCTTTTGTAGTTTATGACAAATAACTGGGAAATCTCTTATCGTAAAAAAATAACTGGGCAATCTTTTATAGTTTACAACTGGGCAATATTTCATAGTTTACGACCAATAACTGGGCAAAATTGTATAGTTTACAACAAGCAACTGGGCAATATTTTATAGTTTAAAACAGTTTACAACAAATACATGGGAACTCCTTCATAGTTTATAACAAAAGTCAGGCGTGTCATATGTGGCCCACATATTACCTTCAACTGACTAGCGATCCGATAAGATAAGTCAATTAATTCGCTATGTACATGTTAACTATTTTGATAACATTTAACTCAGCTGTCACTCTGTAAAAATAACACATTAATGAACAAAGTTAGCACTGACAACCTTTATTGTTACATGATATCTTGACACCAGAACATGTTTTCCGTCCGATCGTCCCTTTAAAAAAACATAGATATATGATTTTGAATTAGGTGATAGGTCAAGGTGCTCATTCCTTTTAAACTAATTACTAGCCTACTGAAATTATAATAGTTTAACGTTAGTTTATTGACCAGCAGTAAACCAAAAATAAGGTATCCTAAATTAGGGGATGTGACAGGTGTCCTAATTTTACAGGTATACACTCTCTTAACAGACATTGATATACTGTAACATTGATTTACGAAAGTAAGTCATATCCTAATGCAAAAGTAAGAAAATCCTATTTATGTCAAAGTAAAATATTAATTCATTGATTTATTAATCAACAATATTCAAGGCACCAACTGAGTTTTTCTTGCTAATTTAAGTTGAACAATTCCTTTAAAAAAAACACCAAAGAACGCGTTAAAACTGTATAACTTTGAAAAAAGAATCGTTACCGTTATGTAACGCACTATTTCAATAAGTAACAAGTAGGAAATTCTTAGAAACAATTAGGGAATGCTTAGAAACCAAGTAGGATATTTATAGAAACAAGTAGGGAATTCTTAGAAACAAGTAGCAAATTCGTAGAAAAAAAGTAAGAAATTCTAAGAAAAACGTTGAAATTCTAACAAAGAAAAAGATTTTAAAAATAACTTAATCCCTAGATAATTTTTTTTTTTACTGTTGCTTCAACTTACATTATATTGTAAACTTTTTTATAAAACATCTTTAGAAAGACAATTTTCATTTTTTTTTAAAAGTGGTATACAATCAAGTAATAATTGCCTAGATATCAGACAAAATGATGACCCAATGCGCAATATTTGAAGTATTTAGAGTATAGGCAAGATTGTGACATTTTATTTGGATATAAATGGTGTGTTTTAAAAGAACACAACTTCTGCGAAGCTATCTATTTCCCTTTCTTTCGGGATTCAGGACAGATGAATTTTATCACCCCCCCTTCCCCCCCCCCCCGAAGTCGGCTTATGGTGGTGTAAACAGGAATCAAGCAAAGAGCGAAGAATGGCGTTTTGCCTTTTTAGACACGTGTCTCAAAGCCAAAAGTCGTGTGAAAAATAGAAATATCAAAGCCATGCTGTTGTTGATGAGCAGGGCCAGGAGTATGAAGA